TTCATGTCTATAATGACTGAGCTATTTATAGTAAATTTGATGTTGACGTCATTCAAACATATTTTTCGCTCATTTTATTTGACACTGGAGTGTGTTGATCCAACATATTCAAAATAATCAACTAAGGGAAATAAGATACAAAGGGTAAATGTTGAATGTATCTAAAAATGCCTCACTAACGTTGCGATAATTATATCAATCAGAAGTTGATACAGTTTTCTGTACAACTTACCCACTAACGTTACAATTTTGCATACAATTCGTTTCTGAGTTACTACAGGTTTTGATTTATGACAAATAAAATCGCAAATATTTTGTAGACAAAACATGTGCATAATTTTAGCTGGGTCAGTGACTGCAGTGTTACATAAAAGCAAAAATAAAAAGAGAGCATTAAAAAATAAAACTGATGTTCGCGGGATGTCAGTCATTCAATTTTGCGTTGCGACCAAAATGGTTTGTACAACTTCAACAATAATAGTATCAATTCGAAATTTATACATTTATTGAAGTAAAAATGGTAACGTTAGTGGCTGGTTTAAATCAATCTAAATATTCTAAATACGTCAACCGTAAAATCATAGTAGTGGGATAGCAAAAGTCTCCGCATTCAGCTGTAACGTAATTGGAACCCGTAAATCTTAAAGCACAAGACCGTATGCACTTCTCCTGAAATTTCTTCTTATGCTTTGACCATGATGTGTCTCGTAATTTATACTCGAATAGCAATTCGGCGAGTCCGGTATTGGTAAATCAGTCCGCCTGATGTAGAATTGACGGCGGTGCGCTGGTCATCAAAGCAAACATGTATTGGTCCACTAAGTCGTAAATAATTTTTTTGTATGGTACACGGGTTCACTTAGCTTTGCCAGTGCAGTGCAGAGCATTGCTTGGCGGGGTATGGTGTTGGTTACATATTATTATTTATTAGTTGATATTATTATTTGTTCATATCGTAACAAGTAAAATTAATGACTCCTCGACCGACCAGTGCGTTTTCAAACATTTAATTGCCTTCTTGCATTTTGTCTTGGTGAGTGAGGTTAACAGTTCATTGAAGCACGCTTCGTTGTAGTGTTGCGACTGGAACCAAGCATTTGCCCATTCATAGCAGATGAAGTCGCATGCTGTACCGAGGATGCGGCGCCACTCTGGCATCAGAAAAAATGCTATAACAGCATATATTGCACGCGAGTTCCATCTTGCCTAGTGTAAGTTTGGGAGTTTCTTCCAGCTGATTCGGGGCCATCGTGAAGTTGCTTTGTAATGACGATATGCCTGACATAGTTCATATAAGAACTTTAAATCATCTCGCCATCCAGGGTTCTCGTCTGAGTTAACATCATCTGTCG